TTAGGTTGCAGAAGGGATTTGTCCCAGGGTCACAGAGTAAGCAGGACTTTTTGAGTTCAGGTCTGTTGTTTCTAGATCTTCATCTGAGCAGCCTCTCTAGCTAGCTAGTTCTGTGGAAAAGCATCCCCTTCGGGGTGGCTTCCAGACAGACCTACGGTAAACATCCAGAGAGTAGCTGGGACACTGCCTGTATAGACAAAGATTACAGTAGTGTTCTGAGTAGGTGGCCAGAAATAAATTCCATTGAACATATTTGCATATATATTTGAACAGTGGATGTAAAGATGAAGTTTTAGGTGGTAAGGAACATATTCTGTAGCGGAAGATTAGGTGAAACAGATGATAAATGTCCCAATGTGCTTTTATGTGCTTTGCGTTTGGAACCCAATGTGTGTCATTTGGAATTGGATTTCAGTAAATGGGAAAGGAGGGATCAAGCATCCCAAATAGAGGGTGACTTGGGGCTGTGATCTGCAAGGGTGGCTTGGGGTGGCAAAGAAAAAAACCACAGTGGTGGAATGCTTGCCTACCAAGCACAAAGCCTGGGGATGGGGAGTGGCACCGGACAGCACCTCACATGTAAGCTTGACAGCTTGCTAGGCAAGAAAGGAACTCTTAGTTTTAACAAGTACATTTCGATTTTAGATGGGGGTAGGGGGGTGGGGGTGAAAGCAAAATGGGACATAGACTACTGCTAAAGGGAGAGTGAGAAGTGACTAATGCTGGGTTGAATCCAGGTACAGTTTGGAGAAGGATGTAATCAAACAGTAAAAAGTAAGGTGTGGTGAAAAAGAAGGCATCTCAAAACACGAGACTAAAACCAGAGCTGTGAAGATCAGTCCTAATCAGAATGTTTGGTAAAATCCCCTGGATGCCAGGCTGTGATGGTGCACGCCTTTAGTCCCGGCACTCGGGAGGCAGAGGCAGGCAGATCTCTGTGAGTTCAAAGACCAGTCTGGTCTACAAGAGTTAATTCCAAGACAGCCTCCAAAGTCACAGAGAAATCCTGTCTCGAAAAACTAAAAAACAAACAAACAAAAAAACCCTAACATTCTTTACAAGTAGGATCAATTGTCATTTACCCGACAGAAGTCACCCTTTTCTATAAGAGGTACTGGTATACTTGACCAAGAGATTTTAAGTCATCAAAAAAGACTTTGTCAGCATTAAATACTCAAGATAGCCCTTAATTTTTTTTTCTTGCGGTATCCTTTCATCTCCCCCTGTGTGGCTGGACAGTTGATCTCAGCCTATATGTGGTAGGCAAATACTCTACCACTGAGCAGCTCCCCTAGACCTAAAGGGACTTCCAAGGCCATGAAACCAACCATTTTCTTCAACCAAGGGAGAGCACTTGTCTAGCATTTGCATCTGTTTGTCTTAGTGTGATCCTAGGATTATTCTGTAGTCTAATGGGAAATTAATTTAATGCTTAACTTGCCTATATATATATCAATTAGTACATTAACTGTATACACCTAGTTTGTTAGTTTGCTTAGGGGTGTTAAATAATACTACTTTGTGATAGGTTTCTCTGTGGAGTTTTCAGTGTTGATGGAGGGAGCTTAGAGTCAGCTGCCCCATTCTGAAGGCAATATAAGTGTAAGAAAGGGTTGTTTGCTGTTGTGGCTAGGGAAATGACTTCATTCCCCCAACCCCTCACCCCCAAAAAACCCTAAATTGATTTGTTAGTAGTATCTCCCTCTGTAGCCCAGGCTGGCCTTGAATTTGACAGTCATCCTGCCTCAGTTGCTGAGATTATAGGAATGAGCCACTGTGTCTGGCTTGTTTTAAAGGTGGGATTATAGCTCAGTGGTTGATACTTACCTAGCATGTATAAGACCCAGCACTGATAAAGAAATATTTGTGGGAGACTTTTCATATTTGTAATGAAAGAAAGATGAAAGGTAGGCTGCTTCTAAATAGTTCGTATTGAAGAGTCTACTTAATTATTTCAAATCTTTTTCCTGGTTCGTTTTTATTGTGCTTAAGAATGCATGCTTTTTGTCTGCACTAGGGAGGCTAGGCAGAAGATAAATTCAAGGCCAGCTTGATCTACATAGGGCTCCAGGCTAGTTTGGTTTTATCTCAAAAAAGTGAACACAAGGGCTGCAGATGGGGCTCTGTGGTGGAGCAGTTGCTTCATGAATGAGGCTGGAGGTTGACTCTCACTGCTGCTCTCCCTTACCCAAAAGGTCACAGCCCTGGGGCTTGACCTCTTGTGAATGCTAGGCAGGAGTTATCCTTCTGAGTTGCTTTGCCTATTTGTTTTTGAGACAAGACTCACTAAATTGCCCAAGGCAGCCTTCTCCTAAGTTTAACTTAGGCAGGTCTTGAGCCTATGGTCGCCATTCCTCTTGGCTTGAACTCTTTTTGTTTTCTTTTCTTTCTCAATACAGGATTTCACTGTGTAAAGCCTTGGCTGGCCTTGAACTCACAGCGATCCTCCTGCTTCTGCCTCCCAAGTAATGGGATAAAATGTGTGCACAACTTCCACTGCCCAATCAAGCCTCAGATTCTTGATCCTGCCTCTACCTCCTAAATGCTGACCTCACAATATGTGTCACCACACAGGACTCTTATCACCCTCTCCCTTCCAGCTCCCAAAGGTACTTAAAGCAGGTCTCTTAACCTAGTTAAGCTAGTAGTTATTTCTGTACCCATAAGTATTACTTACTAAACTGAACCTGTTTTGGAAAGGTCCATTTCAAGTTAATGGTAAGTTACTGGGTTAGACTAAATCACTTGTCCAAAATTTATGTAGGTCTGTTGTCATGGCTTTATATAGATCTACTCTTTGTTGTTGTTGCTAGTTTCAGTCATCAAAACAATCCGACTGTATGGTTCAAAGTCATCCTTAGCTACATAATGGTTTGAGGTCAGCCTGATCTACACGAGTCTCGTCTCACCTGAAGGGGGTCGGAGGGAAGAAAGGGAGGGAGAGGGAATAGATATGAATGAGAATATTGGGACTGTGGTACTCAACAACTTAGACTCCAGATGCTGGGTTTCATTTTTTCTTTTTACTTTTTTTTTGGGGGGGGGGAGCCTCAAACATTCTGAATACCAATAGTTTTGAAACTCCTTTACTAAATAATGGCTTACTTGGGAATTGTGAAGTAAAAATTTTATCCAACCAACAATACCAGGACATCTCTGACTCGAAAAAGAGGCTTGTAACTGGGGGTCAGAACTGGGGGTTGTTGACACTGCAGGTCATATGGGTGTGCTTTAAGCCTGCAATTCTTTCGCCAGTCTAGATACAAAAGGCCAGCACGACACCTTTGACTATTTTAATAAACTTCATTGAGCCTCCTTTAGAATGTTTAGACTTGCAAGATGAGTGTTTTCCTTGCAGACAAGATCCTTAGCATTAAGGGGCCACTATTCTTCAATGTATACATCAAGCTCCGTCTTCTAATCAGTCTTCTAATACTGTTAAATTTGCTTGACTCTGGTTGCTTGGATTCTTTTTTGTTTTTGTTGTTTCCGAGACAATGTTTCTCTGTGGCTTTGGGGGCTGTCCTGGAACTAGCTCTTGTAGACCAGGCTAGTCTCACACTCACAGAGATCTGCCTGCCTCTGCCTCCCAAGTGTTGGGATTAAAGGTGTGTGCCACCACTGCCCCGAGGCTCCTTGGTTTCTAATTAGGAATTGTGCTCTACTTGCAAATATTACATCTTAAATATGTTTTATTTGGACATGCTGTTGCCCTCAAAGCAGCCTTAGGTGCTTTAACTAAGGCTTTGCCAACCTTTCTGTTGGTTCGGTGTTTCCCTGGATTGACCACTGTCTTTGTCAGTTCCATGATTAGGAGTGGTGTGGGCAGCACAGCAGACAGAGCAAGGGATTAGAGTTGTTGCATGGTCAACTGCAGCTCTCCATCTTAGGGAAGGTTGAGTCACGTGAGAAGCTCTTGTGAGGTGTGTCAAGAGTGGTTAAGAACCAGCAGGGCAGATCCAGGAACTGACTGCCCAAAATGGCGAGCACCAGGTTCAGTGAGAGAATCTGGGGCGAGGGGTAGAGATAGAAGGCACAAGACATCTCTACCTCTGTCTTTTGCACACTTAGGCATGTAGACACACACATCATCCTTTCTCAAATAGTGGAACACCTGTGTTTCTAAGCTCCAGAGCGCCAGCAGCTTCTCCAGCAGCGGGAGAAAAATAGAATTGCTAGTGTCTTTGTCAAAAAGGCAATATCCACATTGGGAATTTTGAGGTGGGGCACTGGAGATAGGGCTCAGCTGTAGATGGCTTAAATGGTGTGCTGGTAAATTTTTGTCATTTTGACACAATTGAGGTTTACTGGGTAATTACAGATCAGATTGGCCTGAGGCCGTGACTGTAAGAGATTGGCTTGGCTGATCAGTGAAGTAGAGCTGGCCCGGCCTACTGTGGGTAGCACCTTCCCTAGGCAAGGAGGTCTGGGTTGTAAAAAACTAGGTGAACATAGCCAGTGAGCAACATTGTTCCATGGTTTCTTCCTCAGTTTCTGCCCTGACTTCTCTTACTGATGGTTTATGACCTGGAAATATAAGCCAAACAAACCCTTTGGTTTCCCAAGTTGTTTTTAGTAAGTTTTATCACAGCAAGGGAAAGCCAACTAGGACATCTAGCATGTTCAAGGCCTTGGGCTTGATTCCCAAATACCACCCAAGCAAGCTCTAAGTGTGGTGTTCCCAACCCCTAGGAAGACCTGTTTAAATATACTGAAGCATACCACAGTAATTTTGTAGCATTTTTGTTGATGTTAAGACATGCTACCTTCACAAACATTTGGTCATTACAGCCTTTCTGTCTTTTTTTTTTTTAATTAAAAAAAATCCTTTATTTACAGTTCAAAATTTAAACAAGATCTTTGTTCTGATCTGTGATACTTCCAGGTCCTGGATCACAGGCAGGGAACCAAACACAGAGGCTAGTACAGTTTGTCAGACTCAAGGGAGAATGTCACCTAGAACAGCAGAAGACCTGGTTCAGTGTTGGTCTAGATTACATTTCCCCACACTGAGATTACCACCGGCAATTTGGGTTTATTGTTAGAGCCTGTGGGAACATTTTCCTCATCACCAGAAGTCCATCAATGATTTTTCCAAACACTACATGCTTCCCAACCAGCCAATCACACTTAGAACATGTGATAAAGAACTGGCAGCCGTTTGTACTGGGACCACTGTTTGCCATGGAAAGCAGCCCTGGAGCTGAGTGTCTAAGTTTGAAATTTTCATCTGCAAATGGGCCTCGGTAAATGCTAGCAACTCCAGTACCATCTCCATTAACAAAATCTCCACCCTGAATCATGAAATCCTTTATGACCCTATGGAAGGTTCTTCCTTTGTATCTTATTGGAACACCATCTTTTCTGAACTCTCCAGTGCAGAATTGCCTGAAGTTCTCTGCCGTCTTAGGCACCACGTCTGCAAACAACTCGATCTTCATGAGACCAACCTCCTGGCCGCCAATGCTGACATCAAAGAAGACCACTGGATTGACTTTTTTTTCTCTTGGTTTTTTGAGACAGGGTCTCGCTATGGAGACCAGGCTGGCCTCCAACTCACAGAGATCCGCCTGCCTCTGCCTCCCCTGTGCTGGGATTAAAGGCGTGCGCCACCAATGTCTGGCTCATTACCGCCTTTCTAAAACTTAAATGAGTTTCAGTTTTTCATTTGTGCAATGCCTGTGTAGTACTCCTTCAGTGCTAGTAAACTATTAACAACTAAGTCCTTGTCTGTGGTGGATAGGTTGGCTTTTTTTTTTTTTTTAAACTCATTTTGTAGACTAGGCAGGCTAGCCTTGAATTCACAGAGATCCACCTGCCTCTGCTGGAATTAAAGGTGTACAATACCTAGACTAGCTAAAGTGGCTTTTTAATTTTTTTTTAAATTTTATGCGCATTGTTTTTTGCCATGTGTGTCCTAAAACTCGAGTTAGACAGTTGTGAGCTGCCATGTGGGTACTGGGAATTGAACCCCGGGTTCTCCTGAAGAGCAGTCAATGTTGTTAACCACCTAACCATCCCCTTCAGCCCGTAGAGTGGCTTTTTTAAAGGGTTATATACTTTAGGCTTAATGCTGTTCTTGGTCAGAAGTCTATTCCCTGTAAAAGGCCAGGTGAATATTTTAAGGTTTGCAGCCTGTGTGGTCTATTCTCAACAACTCTGCTGTCGGCGTGACATAAAAGCCAGGTGGTATGCAAAAGTGAGCAGGAATGACTAATGCTAATAAAGTTTTATCTATGAGCACTGAAATCTGAGCACCATATAACCCCACCCACCTGGCTCGTACTATAGAACTCTGAGCATTTCAGAACCAGATGAATATGTTCAAGGGTAGCTTGTGCTTACATACCAAGTTCCCGGAGGGAGGGAAAGAAAGACTTTTTGGCTCGAATTGTTCAGAACAGGTGAACTTAGTTTGCCAACCTTGTTCTAGACCATAAGTTAACAGCTATTTATCAGACTAGCTTGATCAAATGGCTATGGAATCTGCAGGTGCCTCTTCCTACCTAACCATGAGTATAAAATAACCCTGCCCAGCCAGTGGCTGTTCATGCATTTCCCTGTTCCTTTCTCACAGCACTTGTCTTCAAGAACTCAGGTTGTATGGGTGAGCAGGGTAGCCAGGCTGTGGCTATGTAATGATAATTGGAAGAATAACAATTGTATAGCTTAAGAGTGACTAACAGGAAGGGCTTAGTGGATAACGTACTTGGAATCATGAAGACCTGCATTTGGATTCAGCATCCATGGGAAAGGCACACACCTTTGACTCCAACCTTAGGGTAGGGGAAATAGAGGGATAGGCAGATCCCAGGGGCTCGTTGGCCATCTTGTGTATTGAAAAGATGAACTCCAGGTTCATTGAGAGCTCCTGTCTTAAAAATGGAGGGAATGATGAGGACAACACACACACTCGACATACAATCTGCATAATCTTGCATGGGAATACATGCCACGTGAATCTGTGTGCCACTCCCTCCCAAGGTAACTGATATGATGACCCCAGAACAGACCTCAGTGTGGTCAAGTATAGGGCTGATATTTTTGCCTAAGAAGTAGAAAGTTGTACTTCTTAAATCTAATAATTTAAATGATCCCATGGGGGCCAGAGTTCTAGGCCAGCCTAGTCTACATACTGGGTTCCAAGCTAGCCAGGCTACACAATGAGACCCTGTCTCAATGACCCCCCCACCAGTATAAATGAGTTCACAGGTGCAGATGGTTTAATGATGGGATTGTCAGTATATCACCCCCCAAAGGCTATCATTTGGTATGTGTTATAATGTGTGCCCTTGATAATTTCAGTGAAATTTGAGAGTTACAGCCTTGAAATGTTTGAAGTATTGATTCCTAGTTTTTCTCAGGCCTTAAGTGCATGGTTGTCATGGGTCTTGCAGGTGCTGTTGGTGAGTAGCAGTCGGTATCCAGACCAGTGGATTGTCCCAGGAGGAGGGATGGAGCCAGAGGAGGAGCCTGGTGGCGCTGCCGTGAGAGAAGTATATGAAGAGGTGAGATGAAGAGTGTTTTGTCGTTTACACATTGTTGAGGGGTTTTATATGAGCATCTTCTGGGTTTTGCCAGGTGATGCTGAGGAAAGGCAAGAATGCAGGTGATGGAGGTGTTCTGTTGTCTGGTGCAGTGTTATAAGTATATTGCTATAGTTAACATTTTTTTTTTTTTGGCTCAAGTTTGTGTTTTGTACATGGTAAACAGCTAAAATGAGTGTATGAATGTGAGCCTTCTAGAAGTCTAATAAATGCAATTGTATTAACATTAGTTCAGTTTGATTCATGATCAGTGTATAAAATAATGACCTCTCCTGGGGGCTACATCAGTGTCCTTTTGAGCGGAGACACTCACTTGTGTTGTGTACCATAAATTTTAAACTAAAAAGGAACCAATTGCCAGGCAGTGGCACCTTTAATGCCAGCACTCAGGAAGCAGAGACAGGTGGATCCCTGTGAGTTCAAGGCCAGCCTTTTCTACAAAGCAAGTTCCAGGACAGCCAGGACTGTTACACAGAGAAACCCTGTCTCAAAAAACCAATTGTTTTTGTTTTCTTGTCTTAAAATTCAGTAAAATGAGGAGGCAGAGGCAGGTGGATCTCTTGAGTTCGAGACCAACCTGGTCTGCAAGAGCTAGTTCCAGGACAGGCTCCAAAGCCACAGAGAAACCCTGTCTCGAGGGAAAAAAAAAAAAAAAAAAAAAAAATTGAGTAAACTGTGTGGCATCCTCATACACAAGTGGCCTGCTTGTCCCTTCCCTGAGGGTGGAACTTGCTTTACTCACGGGTGACACCATGCAAGGGTTAGGTGGGGAGGGCAAACCTGTGCTCTTCCTTTGGGCTTTGGGGGTACGCAATCTTGCCAGCACTTCTTCAGAGAAGTGCTTCCCAGCTTCACACACAGGAAACACTGAGGGTGAGGAATTCAGACCCTTCAGTGAACAGTAGCTAGAGAATTATAGCTCCTGAGCCCTGGCAAAGGAGAAAGCAGGTTTTTAGAACCGGCGAGTCTGTTAGTTCATACTGAAAAGTCTGCTTTTATTCACAGATTTTTTTTTTTATCACCCCGTTTTGGTTTTGGTTTTTGAAATAAATGAAAATCAGTCTAACCAATCAGGCAAAAACTAAAACAAAATAGCTTAAATGTGATTATTATGAGAGATGAGTATTTTACTTACCAGCTCTTTCTTTAATAGGCTGGAGTCAAAGGAAAATTGGGCAGACTCCTGGGAATATTCGAGGTGAGTTACAAAATAGCCCTTTACTGATGTAGAATTCATGACTTTCCTGACAACAGCCTGAACAAGTTGGTTTCCTCTAAAACTGTCAGCAGGCAAGTCAGTGGTAAGGATTGGGTGGTGCCCTTGTTTGCACACAGTGGCGATGCCATGGTTACCTGTGTCTGACCATGCAGTGGAGTTGACACAGAAAGACTGCCCTATGGTTTTGTCTCAGTATGTGACACTGCACGACATACAGAATGATTTGAAGGGCCAGGGGAAAAAACAAAAAAAAACCCTCCAGTATAAGGAATAGATGCTACAAGGAAAAAAACTCTTCTGCATAAGCAACCTTTTATTAACTGAAGGCAGAATAGAATTTCCTGTGAGGGGATTTGAAAGTTATCAGCACGCTAAGGACAATGGAAAAAAGAGGCTAGGTTCTGAAGATGCATTTCGGATTTTCAGACACAGATATGTGGTATGCCAGAAACATGGGGATTTCCCTTATCAAAGTTTAAGAGCTAGCTCAGTCTTTCCAATGGAACCATACATATAAAATTTGTTTTTAAGCCTTTAGAAATTGTTAAGCCTTTGTAATTGATTCACCAGAATTCAGTGAGTACCAATGGTGATGGTGCAAGCCTTTAATCCCAGCACTAGGGAGTCAGAGGCCGGAGAATCTTTTGAGTTTGAAGACAGCCAGGACTACACAGAGAAAAACTAAGGGGGGGTGGGGTGGGGCTTGTGTCTGTAGAAATGCCTCAGTAGTTACGAGCATACTGGTGGTTCTTGCAGAGGACTCAGGTTCAATTCCCAGCACCCACATTGCAACTCATAACTGTAACTCCAGTTCCAGGGGATCTAACATGCTCACACAGGTATACATGCAGGCAAAACACCAGTGTGCATAAAATAAAAATGTAAAAATTATTCTTTAAGTTGATATTCAAAGAACCTCTCTGTGGCATGGGTTTTACAGTTATATAGCACCATCTTCTGGTGAAATGGAGCAACACAAATTTTTCTGTGATGTGTGGATACAATTAAGAGCCAGAAAAGTCATACTAACACTTAATTATTAAAGAGACAGCACACTATTTAGTAAAAAACATCAGCCAGCATTTTCTTCCCTCTAGAAAGTATTGCAGCACATCAGAACTGCTTCCTACCACACTGGTGACATTAGTGACTTATGAATGGGAAGTAGTAAATGCATTGACTTTGCAGGCATAAAAGTAGAAAGGTGAGGCGTTTAGTTTTTAGATTCATCCAGATCTCAAGGTTTTATCAAAGTTGAGCATACATAAATGAAAATACTAAAGTTCCACATTTTAGCAATTTACCCATTGACAGTGCTGAAGCTCTAGTTCATGATTTTGAGATAGCATGGCTTCACTCTGTAGTACAGGCTGCCACAACCCCCAAATGCTGGGATTTCCAGTGTGGATCACCATACCTGAGCTAGTTCATGTCTCTTGTTTTAAGACAGGATCTTAACTCAGCTGGCTGGGAACTTGATACGTAGTCCAGGCTGCCTTGGAACTGGATCCTTCCTGCCTCAGCCTTCCAAGTACTTATTTCAGCCATTAACTCCCATCATGCCCTCTGCTTTTAAACAAAAATTGGGCAAATGTGCATGAATGACTTGTGCATGCATACATGTAGAGGTTAGAGGATAACGTGGGAATGGTTCTCTCCAGTTAGGCTCCCAGGATCCATCTCAGGTCAGTGCTTTGATGTGCTGAGCCATCTTGAAATCCCCGTTTCTAAATGTTTCTTGTTTGCGCACACCTTCTGCCTAGAATACTCACTACACACTTACAGACACTGGAATACGCTGTGCTCGTCCATCCATGGTCAGCTCTTGTGAATTAAAATGCTTTGTTTTTTTTTTCTATTCAAGCAGAATCAAGACCGGAAGCACAGAACTTATGTTTATGTTCTGACAGTCACTGAAATATTGGAAGACTGGGAAGATTCTGTTAATATCGGTGAGCCCCTGGCCCTTTGCTTAGTCACCACTAACACATTTCTCCAGTTCACTGTAACTAACATTTGGTTACTCTTTGAGAGTTTGAATTACCTCACCCTACCATGCTAAGTCATGTAAGAAGTAGAAAGTCACTGTTTTGGAGGAAGCAAGGGAATACTGTGTAGTGATAGGGTATGCTTTTTAAAACTGCCCTTGCAGTAACTGCTGTTTTCCTGCTCTCTAGGAAGGAAGAGAGAGTGGTTCAAAGTAGAAGATGCAATCAAAGTTCTTCAGTGTCATAAGCCTGTCCATGCAGAGTATCTGGAAAAACTGAAGCTGGGGTGTTCTCCAACCAATGGAAATTCCACGGTCCCTTCCCTCCCAGATAACAATGCCTTGTTTGTGACTGCTGCACAGCCTTCCGGGGTGCCATCCAGTATAAGATAGAAAGCTGGGACCCCTCCCCCCACCGTGTAATGTCACAGGGAGAGGCCGAGGGGGCGCTTTTTTTTTTTTTTTTTTTTTTTTTTTTTTTTTTTTTTTACTTCTGACACATCTGACTGCTGCCGGCAAATTCTGAATTTGCCGTGTGCAGGAATTTCAAATAATTTGCATGCGTTTCAGATGCTTTCAAGTCTTTTAGAGTAAACAAAATAGCATAAAAATTTTAAGATGCCAAAGCCATGTGGAATTTTTTTAGAGCCTTAATTGTAACCCTTCTACCCCATTACTTTGGTTTTCATCTTTTAATGAAAAATTTTCCCCCACTTTGTCCACTTGACATCATCCTGTGGTTTATTTTGCCAAGTCAAGTAAGTTGTTGGGTATATATTTTCACACAATTCCCCCCCTCTTTTTTTCCTTACAGTATCAAATAATCACCAGATCTTTGTGTTGGGAATTAATGCAAAGATTCTCCGTATTTAAAGAAATATATTTACCCCAAAACTTGTGTAAGAGGATTGTAATTTCCATTGTAAACTGCACATCTGGGCTGGTTTCTTTGATATGGTTCTGTAGTCTTTGACAAAGTACTTCAGTTCACTATTTCCAAGAATTGGTTTGAGTGTTCACAGCCAGTATTATGTCACTGTCAACCTACTAGGACTGTTTCCCCTCTAACACAGTAGTGACTCAATATAAAATATAGAGAGCTCATCATTTTAGGGAAATACTCTCAGCAATTTGCATGTGGTTGAGTGCATCTCATCCTGAAAACTGTTATTTATAGAAATTTACTTAGCATGCTCAGTTGCCAGTTCCCTTCGTAATTCTTTTAACATAGACTATATGAAGGCCACATTTCACTCAATGGAGACTGCTCTTAAAATGCATTTTCAGTTTCTGATTTAGTGACACCTGTTCAGTTAAACAATCAGTTTTCCGCAGGATTAAATCTAGCCTTCAGATCCAGTTGGTGCTGACTGCATCACAGCTAAAGAAAATGGCCATTGCTGTCCAGCTGTTCCAGGCCTAAGGCAGAGGGCACATTTGATCTCCGGGTTTTTTAGTGTCAGTGAGTGGTTTGTCACTAAAGTCAACTGTGGGGGAATTGGACCATGTGAGTCAAGTTATTACACTTTGTCTTTGCTCATAATCGGCCATCCTGTGAAAAGGGCCTGGTCTGAAACTCCCATACTTCATGAGGTCAGAAGTGAAGCAGAGGGGAAAGCCCTCCACAGATGTGGGACAAGGAAGAGGAAGAGATCAGTCTTTATGTAGCCCTTGTTAACCTTTTTGTAAATACTCTTAACTGGCAAGCATAAAACAGGAAGTACATTGAGGCATGTGTTCTGTAACTTGTTAACCTTTAAAATGAAATCGCTGCTGAAAATGGTTCTTGGATGTAAGGAAAACTGGTTCTGAAAATGCGATCTTGTGCCACAAATGCAGCGGAACTAAATAAAAACGTTAGTTTACAAATTAATGCTGTCACAGTAATGAGTAGAAAAACTCAACCAGTAGCATTCATTCTGAATTATGTAGTGTAATCACACATGATCGTTCAGACCTTTTATATTTTTCTTTGTACAGAGGTCATGTATTCTGTTTTGTTTTGTTTTTTTTTTTTTAAAGGAAACATTTTAAAGCCCAGATTGACATTTTCCGTCAGTTGCCGAGACTCCCCACACATACACACACACAAATCTCCGAAATTTCTCTATGTACTAAACACAACAGAGAAACTGGACTGCTTTGTATAGAATACTACTTCCAGCTAACCATCACAAGTGCTTGGGGTTCGTAATGTACATGATATTCTGAGAGGTAATAGTGCATGGATTTATTTTATAAACTCTTGGACTGTGTATTGCCATGTAAAATATGTACAGTATTAATGTCAACCATCTCTTTAAAGTTAGCCTATAAATATTGTTGTATAATTTCTTTGGTCAGAAACATTTGGATTAAGCCAGGTCACCTAAGTCAGGACTTTCTTCAGTGCCATGTAGCAAACCAACTCTCTTTAGTCTTTTCAATAGCAAAGAATTTACAGAATGTAGCTTCATTTTTCAATTTCACCTGGGGGCTCCCCATTACTCTTCTGGGACCCAGACCAGCAAGATTATAGAGGAAAAGAACTAGGGGGAGTGATTCAGTTCTCTTCAAAATCAGTTGAATCCATTTCAGCCCTCTGCAGTGTGCAGTTCTGAAGCTGCTGTTTGTGCTTATTTGTAGAATTACTGAATAAAATGGGGCAGCTAGATTCTTCAGTTCCATGTGCCTAAGTTTAAGAAACAACGCTGTTAATGACTTGCAGAAAGGTAGGAACTGCCCTCCCTGTGTGGTGGCATTTTCCCACCAAGCACATGCCATCCAGTTCTTTGTCAGTCACATTATGAAGCAGAAAAGGAAGAATTGCTTTGCATGGTCTCATTTGAGATGGTCTCATTCAAGCTGGTGTAAGAATCTTGACTTTCTTTTTTACATTTGGAAACATCAAATAAAAATGGAAATAATCTGTGTGGGTTTATTTTTTAGCTAGCATGAGTACAGTGTTTTCAAGTTAATCAGCTTTCTGAAATTTAAGGTCAGGTGCATGCTTACCCAGGAGACTAAAGAGATGGCTTGCGTTAAAAGTGCCTGCTGCTCTTCCAAAAGGATCTGACTTTGGTTCCCAGCACCCACATAAGAGAGGCTCACAACCTCTAACTTGAGCTCCAGGGGATCTGATACATTCTTCTGGCCTTTAGAAACAACTGCACACAAGCCATACTCTGAGAAAAATAAATCCATAAAGTAACTACCCAGACAAAGCCATACTTTTGCTGTACAGAATCCATTATACATAACCATGCATACCAACATGTAAGCACCTGCCTGGCATTATACAGTAAAACCTTCGCTGTTGTCCATTTGACCCCTCATACATACAAAGCTCTTGCACACTTTATGACTGACTAGGAGTTGAAAGGAACTATCATCAAAATGCTACCAATCTTTTTTAGTTTAGACCCTGTTTCAAGAAAAGGTTGAGCCCGGCAGTGTTAGGGCACACCTTTAATCCCAGCACTCAGGAGGCAGAGGCAAGGGGTATCAGTTTGACAGTCTGGACTAGAATTCCAGGACAGCCAGGGCTACACAGATTGTAACTGCCTATAAATCCAACTCCAAGGGGAGCTAATGTGGCCTCTGTGGGCAGGAATCCTACATTCATGCACATGCCCGCACACATAATTAAATTTCACGGGGTAGTCCAGTCAGTAATGTGTTTGCTAAGCAAGCACGGGACCCAAGTTCTGTCCCCAGAACCCATGTGAAAAGCCAGGCTGTGGTAGTACAACTAGCATGGTAAGACAGCCATGATTCCTCAGGGTTCCTAGGCCAGCTGGCCTGGCCTAGCCTAGTGGTAGCCTGTCTCCAAAAGCAGTAGAAAGCAACAGGAACAAAACCTAACGTAGTCTCAGGCCTCCCAAAGTCTTCTATGAGCCTGATGTGGAAAAATTTCTGAGCCAGAAGCCAGCGTGGTCTACATGAGTTCCAGAACAATTCTGAGCTGTGCATGGTAGTGTTACCTTAGATCCCAGGACTCAAAAGGCAGGGTTATACAAAAAGCATCTCAAAAAACACATTTTGCTATCATAAAGGATGGAGTTCCCAGCTGGGCGTTGGTGGCGCACAACTTTAATCCCAACACTCGGGAGGCAGAGGCAGGCAGATCTCTGAGTTCGAGGCCAGCCTGGTCTCCAGAGCCAGGATAGGCTCCAAAGCTACACAGAGAAACCCTGTCTCGAAAAACCCAAAAAAAGATGGAGTTCCCAGTTGCTTCAATAAAGCAGCATCTGCTCACGCCTGCCCAGCTAGCACCACTGACAGTTTCCTTGACAGGGAGCACTTAGGAGCTCACATAGATTCCTAAAATCTTAGGAATCGAGCAGCCAAAAGAACATTACTAAAGTTTAGTTGTATAGCATTTTCTTGTTTTGGTTCTTGCATAGACTTCAAGTAAAATTCTATTTAAAAAACATAATCCCCTACCAAATACTTACCAAAATGTAATATGGACCTACACTGCAAAATCAAGCTACAAGTAATTTCTTGAGGCTGAAGAGATGGTTTGAGAACCTGGATTCTGTTCCTTGTACCCATTACAGAGGCTCACAACTGTCTCTGAATACAGGAATCCAAAGCCCTTTTGGCAGCCACAAACACAGTGGTCAGGTAGGCAAAACACCCAAACCCACCCACCCCCAACTCTTCTTGAGACAGATGTTCCCCAAAGTAGTCCTCCCTAGCTTTTCCAATCTTGAACTCAAAGATTGCCTACCTCTGCCTCCTGGCACTGGAAGGTATGAGCCACCAAGCTTAGCTTCTCCCCCATTTTTAATGCCTTCCAGGCCAACACCATTGGCTAAATTCTAGCCAATTCCAGATAACAGGATCAAGGCCTGTGTTAAGCTTGTGAGGTTACAGATCTTTTTTCATCCTTCAAAAGATTCAGTCCTATATGCAAATGACAGGGCTAGAATAAAGATCAGTGGTAGTACTTGCATATCCAGTGAGCACTGGAGAAGGCTCAGCAGTTTATATAGAGGTTCAATCTCCAACCACCACATAGTGGCTCACAATGATCTATAATGAGATCTGGTTCCCTCTTCTGCCCTACAGGCATATATGCAGGCAGAACATTGTATACATAATAAATCTTTAAAAAACAAAAAACTCCAGTACCAACAAAAAACTGTACAGTGGGAAAGTTTAATTTTTAGAACATATTATTCCCAGCCTTAGTGATATAGTGGGAACAATGTAGAGGAGAGTGCAGAGTGAAGGAAATAGACAAATTATCACATCCAATTGGTATAGATTTTTATTATTTATATACTTCTTTGAAATTATTACATTCAACATGTTTTCCTTTTGTGTTACTTAAAATATAAACCCTGATATAGTTCCTTAGGCAGCATGCTTCATAGCTAAACAAAATGTTCCCAACCCCAGAATACATTCCAATAAATTACATATTTCTTCTGGAATACTAAGTTAGGTACCCACTTTTTCATCTCGTTTTGTAATTTTGTATGTGGACAGCTTTCTTATATTGTATTCCTAAAACTGCAGTAATACAAACTGAGTCTGAGCAGCCAAAAGAACACTCCTAATCCATCAAAAATGTCCCATGGCACCACTTAGGTCTACCTGGCTGACTGGCCTCACGCTATCTTACAGGACACCAGATGTTCTTTTCCCACCCTCTTGAGAAATGCTAACCACAGCATCTGGGTGGTTTTGATACACCAATTTGCACTGAGGCTTACCTTACAAATACATTCCTGGTCTAGTGTAAGGTTTTCAGTATTATATACAGAAGGCCTACCATCTGAGAGAACCAAGAATAACTAATCTCACAGTGAGTGGAAGTGAATCACAGCAAAATAGATGACAAAGCATAACAAAAACATTCAGACCACAAAGCTCAAATTGATACCTGGCTGAGGGCAGTGATTCTCAACCTCTGAGTCTCGACCCCCCACCCCCACCCAGATATCATAGGGTTCCCGTAAGACCATTGGAAAACACAGCATTTACACTGCAGTTCATAACAGCATCAAAATTACGGTTATGAAGTAGCAATGCAAAGGGTTGCAGCAGCATTAGGAAAGGTTGAGAACCACTACTCTAGAGCTTCTGAACTGATTTCAATTGGGGAGAGGTTACATCTCTTCTCACACTGAGCTCTCTGTATGCACTGTCTGGAGGCTGGAGGCATCTGTCCAGCCTGAGTCCAGAAGGGTAGCCTTTCCAGCACTTCCTTTCTCCAGGACCAGAGCTGTAACTATTGTGCTGTGCCTTATGCCTAAATTGTTCCTTCAAAAGCAAGGTCCAAGTTATTCATTCACATCCCCAACCAGCAGCAGGCAAATGTTCAAATGCCTTTGACAAGTGAATTTCTTCCTTCAGCTGGGGCTACAAAGTCAAAGGTTTGTAAGAAGAGGACTCCATATGCAACAGGTAGGCTGGGAATAACTAACCAACTCCTAACAGAAAGGGGAGTGATAGTGTGTGGTCCTTGTGGTGTCTGCTAATAGGTTCCTGAGCTATGGTGGGTCAACCCACTACTGTCACATCTTCATTCAAATGTTAGACTGTTTATGTTTGAATACTCTGTTTCTGAAATACTGCCATGTAACTCAAACTGCTTTTATCCAACCATTCAGTGTTGGCTAAGGAAACCACCAGGGGCCAAACTTAGTTGCTAGGATTCAACTCTATTTTGACCTATTGTTTCCTTTAAGTCTTTTAGGAAAAGTCCAGACATATTCTTGCTTCTTCCAACTGGCTGATTACAGGTCTCATCAAAACAATGGAGACTCACCAAAATTTTTAAAAAATAGAAAGAAAAAAAAAAGTGATGCCAGGAACTCATAATGTAAAATAGGAAACTAAACCTCAGTGCACACTAGAACCCTACGTGTGGGTAACATGTAACTCACTGTGTGGCATCAGTTATAGCAAGGAGCAGTACTGGCTTTCAGGAAGTAATACTGCCCCATGGCTAATTACTTCAAGTTCTGAGATGGTTTTGTTTGTTGTTAAATGAGAGCTTTCTTAGCTGTGATCAAAAGATGTTATCTGCCCAAGAATTGTAACAACTGCTGAAAGAGAGCTTTAAAATTTACAGTATCAGGTAGGGCCATTAGCAATTTTATTCTAAATATTTGTTAACAAAATGCATTTATGTGGAAAGATCCAGTTACCAGTCATCAAAAGCTCTTACATGTTGAAAATGTAATTTTAATAGATAATTCTTCATCTTACATAGGAACACAATAATATACACCACATTCTGAAGAAACTCCAGAAGATATGAAGTGAGGAAATGAAGATGGGCTATAAGTTAAGTCCTTACGGTCAGGACTTACACAGACATGACTCAAAATAACAAGAATCAGAAAGTCAATGTAGAAAAAGGTGAAAAAAGACGGTTTCAAATGAGAAGAAAATAATTACTAATACCAATGTAGAAAAAGGTGAAAAAAAACGGTTTCAAATGAGAAGAAAATAATTACTAATACCAAATTAAAGGATAAAAGGAGTAGCTGGGCACGGTAGCCTTTATAATCCTAGCATAGGCAATCAGATCTCTGAGTTGGAGGTCAGCCTGGTCTACACAGTGAGTTCCAGGACACACCACACACACACACACACACACACACACACACACACACACACACACACCAAAAAAAAAAAACCAAGATGGAGGGGGGGAAGAGGGAGAGGGAGAGAGAGGGAGGGAGGGAGAGAGAGAGAGAGAGAGAGAGAGAGAGAGAGAGAGAAAGCACACCAGCCCAGAGGGATAAAAGCACAGGAAACTGAAGAGCTGATAATCCCTTGTTAAGCCTGTTGCTTGGGATTTGTTCACTGGGTCTACAAGGAGGATTCAAAACTGCCTCCACAAACCTCAACTGGTTTCCTAATGGCACAAACAATCAGGTTTTCAGACAAGAACCAAGTCATAACTTACAATCTGAGGCTCAAATGTGGACATGTGAAAGTCCCGTATAAGGACATCTACCTGTCCTTTTTATTTTGACCGTTGGGTGTGATCAACTTTCAAACATTATGGCAAGACACCAATGATCACCTAATTAAATCAGGTAACATTTATTTAAAATTTCTAGGAGGGAAAAAAAAAAAAAAAAAAAAAAAAACAGATACTGATGCTTCATGCATGCTCCGAGCCAGTTTATAAATACTCACTCAGTAAAATCCTAACACAAATCTGCATCAATGAAACAAACTGGTGAAATTCTCCTCTTGCCAATCAATTTGTCAGATGGAGAGGACCAAAACAGAATGTTCCATCAGTTTTAATTTTAAATACGATTGTCACATTGGGAAAGTGAAATAAACACAGTAAAATAAACTGTACAAAGGCAAAGTAGAATAACAAAAAATATTTTACTAAAACATAAGATTTACAGAAGTTTCCAGACAAGCCATACAAAATGGTCACAAGCTTTTTTCTTCTTTTGGGGGTGGGGCAGAGAATCTACACTTAACAGCAAAGTCACAATGTTATTAGTGAGGGCTGTGATGTTTATTTAATGTTCCCATTTTGGTTCAGACAATCAAGCTTGTCCATCTACAGCGTCTAAAGTTAGACTTGGCTAGAGAGCATATTCTAAAAAACTGGTTAGCTGCATTTAACCACGGCAATTAGATCCCAAAAGAGAGGGAGGGGGAAAGGAGACCATAAAATTAAAATAAAACTATTTTCCCCCTAAAAAATAAAATAAAAACACCCATACCCCTGGGCAGCTAACCCTGACAACTACCTTCATTCACAGTGCTTTGTACTTAAACCATGATGGGGAAACGAATCCAAGCAGAGTCACTGCTTTTAAACATTTCACAACAACCCAGATGATACTTCTAGCCTCTGCTCATGCTTTACAACAGTGAATCAGGACAAGACATAGATTTGCTAATGTGCATGTAATCACCAAAGATGAAGATGTCTGGGCTTTTATTCTGTAATGTTTCTAAGACTGTGTCCATTAAATGCAAACAAAAAAAGGAAGAGTCTTGGCAGAACAGGAGAAGTGATGTACACTTGATGATCTGATCGACTTAAATATTATTCATGGCATATAGCCTAGTCCATGCTCTCGCTGTAGGTAAAAACAAACATGCAACTGTTAGTTAACTCAGATTTCTTTTCAAAACCATAAACAACAAATAAACACATTTTGTGGAAATGCTAAGCTACACATACCCTCCTAAATTCACAATATCTCCTATAAACTGGATCAGATCACTTTTCTGAATATCTCATTACTAAAACAGTACAGCTGATTAGAAAGAGGTCTTGGTTTTTCTAAGGTTCGCACTATTTTGACCAGAATAGATTCAAACCTTTCATAAAATTCAACAAATGGAGATGGTTGTGTCTTTCACTTCTGAATAGACAATAACGTTCCTCATTTTGTTGTAACTGTCACAGGAAGAAGTTTGTGGATTCTATACTCTACAAACTGCTATGTACTTTAAATGAACCATAAAGACAGTATAAAACAATTTCAAGTTTTCTAGTCTCTTCACACACTGCTCATAAGCAGACAGTCATTGTTAGATCCATGTAGATCTAACCCACAGTGCAAGATCTCCTTTTCTAGATTACTTTTAATCTGAGCTCATAAAAAAAAGGGGGGGGTAAAGATTGTTTAGAAAAAAAGCAGGTAAAAGAATATGAAGTACCTGTTTCTATGGCTTGGGCTTCATTGGTCTTCCACTGCTCGGCTACATCATTTGCTAACGGATCATCTGGATTAGGAGCACTTAACAAAGCCTGGATTGATAGCAGAACTGTGCGAATCTGCAGTGCTGGGGACCACTTATCTATGAAGGTAACAGGCCCAGTATGATATGATAAAGCATGAAAAACAGGCCCAGAATGGTTGAACTTCCCTCCCACACACTGGTGTTAACATGAGATTACAATATTTACATTCTAAATATGGAATGCTTAAGACAGAAAGGACACATTAAGTGACAACACTTACCTTTCAAAATATCTAAACATATTCTTCCCAACTTGTCTACATTAGGATGATAAATTTTGGTCATGAAACGTACTTTAGGTGCTGCCATTGGGTATTCTTCTGGAAGGAATAGTTCAAGTTTAAAAGTCCCTCCCTCAAAGGGGGAATCCTGGGGGCCAGCAATGACCACATGAAAATAACGGGCGTTGCTCTCATCTGGTTCTGCTTTAATGCCAGGAACTGGTTCTGCCAGCAAACGCTGGGTTTCCTACAACAGAAAAATAAACACACTTGTGAAACAAATGTCATTTCACTAAACACCAAAGTTAAAATCAGATCTTTTTTAATTAGACATAAAAGAATCTCCCAGTGATAATTTAGCTAATCAAATGTAAAACTCGAAAAATGTTTATTTGACCTCCAAATAATGCCAAAATATGGCACACAAACATCCCCTTCACAAATAATAAATGCTTTAAAAAAAAAACTGTTTATGATGGGCATGGTGGTGCATGCCTTTAATTCCAACACTTGGGAGGCAGATGAAGATGTATCTCTGTGGCTTTGAGACCAGCCTTGTCTGCACAGTGAGTTCCAGGACAGCCAGGGCTATGTAGGGAGAACCTCTCAAAAGATATAGGGATGGGTGGGTGGGTGGGTGGATGGATGATACTGACAGACAGACATAATTATATTCATGTAAAAGGAAAGAAAAATGACACCAGGATTGCTGCAATACATTCTTTGTATTCAAGGGCAAACTAGGTCTAAAATACTAGGACATCAAAATCTCTGGATGCTCAAGTCTCTTACATAAAATAGTACAGTATTTATTTGTATTTAAAGTACAGAAATCTTCCTGTATATTTCAAACCATCTCTAGATGACTTGTAGTGCCTAATACAATGTGAGTGTTACAGACGGGCGTTGGTGGCTGTAAATCCCAGCACTTGGGAGGCAGAGGCAGGTGGATCTCTGTGAGTTCGAGACCAGCCTGGTCTACAAGAGCAAGTTACAGGACAGCCTCTAAAGCCACAGAGAAACCCTGTCTCGAAAAGCCAAAAACAAACAAAAAACAATGTGAATGTTTCGTACCTAAGACACAAATTAAGCACACACTTTCCTCTCATAGGATTTTTCCACCTGCTAACTATAATGAAGTATTGGAGAACAAGTCTAGGAAACTGGGTATTGTGGCAGAAGCACACCCTTGGATCCAAGTACTTAGGCAGAAGCTGGCAGATCTCTTGAGTTCAAGGTCAGCCAGACATAGAGAGTAGGATCTGTCTTTGGAGGAAGAGATAAGAACATGTCTAAGGCACGTAAAGTGTAAGAGATGTAAGGGATGGAGGGTGGAAGGCAGGGTGCATTGGCCCATGACGATAAGCCTAAAACTAACTCTTGTAAAGGGCCTGTAATGCTCCCCAATAATCATATCACATTCTATTTCCCATGACTAGGGGAACCTCCAAATACCCATTTTCTTTTCTTTTTTTTTTTTTTTTTTTTTTTTTTTTTTTTTTTTGAGAGAGGGTTTTCTCTGTGTAGCTTTGGAACCTATCGTGGCACTCACTTTGTAGACTAGGTTGGCCTCAAAAATCACAGAGATGTGCCTCTGCCTCCCGAGTGCTGGGATTAAAGGTGTGAGCCACCAACACCCAGCCAAAATACCCATTTTCATCCCTGCTTTAGATTGGTGCTCTGCTTCCTACTTCATGAGATGGCACACATCTTTTACATGACAGGATCTGCACACATTCCCATATGCTGCTGGGCTTCTCACATGTTCCTGTGAACTACCAGAGCACTTTACCAAGGCACAGCCCCCTCCTCACTGAGCCTCCCAAGAACTTTGCTCCAACATCTCTCCTGAACCAGCTCTTTCCTTTGTGACCTTTCCTCAAATCATTCAAACTTTATGGTATTTTTCCTAGTAGGAGATAATAAGGCTGGATTTCCTGTTATAAAGTGCAGCCACTCCACAAGCTTGGCATCTTCTGCAAAGGACCATTTTCCTTCCAGCTTCTCTGCCATGTTGTAATAGAGAGGGACAGGTCCTCACGAGAAACAAAAAGCTGTATGACCTTGCAGTTCAAACTCTAAAACTCTTGTCTTCATTAAGTTCCAGCTTTAACACTTTAGTACAATGAAAGAAAATGGACTAACACAGCAACCCAAACTCAACTTTCTGATCTTCCCCATTTCCCCAATTTTTCCTTATGTCAGTTAATACATCACTGAGCCATCTTCCCCTATAGGCTAAATATTTAGCCTGATTTTTAAAAACTTAAAAAACAAAAACCTGGCCGGGCAGTGGTGGTGGACGCCTTAATCCCGGCACTCGGGAGGCAGAAACAGGAATTCGAGGCCAGCCTGCTCTACAAAGTGAGTCCCAGGACTGTTTCACAGAGAAACCTTGCCACGAAAAATAAAAAAATTTGCTCAGGGACAAAAATATGTGTAAACATGTATACAGCCCTGGGATGATCCCCAGCAAAGACAGAAAAGAAAGGTTCCAGAAGTCTACCCATGGCTCTACTGCTTCTCACCACTCCTACACCTCTGCTTAAGCCTCCACCTGCTCTCAAATGGCAGACTAATAAAACCTGACATACTTATTAGCATTCAGGCACCTGCACTGGCCTGCCCTTGGGGACCTGGCAGGATATGTGCATGTACTTGCCAGTACTCAGGCAGTACTCTGGCCTCCTCAAGGTCCTACTTACTTAGTCTCTGTGGACATGCGCTACGCCCCGCCCCCAGACAAGTGCCACCTGCCTCTCTCCTCTCTGCCCTTTTTCTGTCTTCAAGAGGCCTGTCTCCCCCTCCCCATTCCCTTCCCCCCAATAAAAAACTCTCCATTCGAGCTGTCACATGATGGCATTAGTCTTCCCACCCTCCCCCCTTGCTACCTTACTCCCTGGGTCTACCTCCCACATGTATTGAAAAGTCAGAGCCTTGCGATGGACTTCTCTGCCTACCTTTCCAATTCACCTTCAGCTACCCTGCACCCCAATCTGTGCTCAATCCAATTGAACTCCCTTACAGTTCCTTGACCTCCTAGACACACTCCCACTTCAGAGACTACACCTACTCCTTTCCCACAGGGAACAGTTAACTAGGAAAAACAAGGAAGGGGCCTGGCCTTTATTTTTTAAGAGGAAAAAAAAATGTAAAGATCAGTATAAGTGCAAAGAAATGAAAAACTAAAAAAGTAACATTTCTTCCATTTTGGCCTTTTCCTCAACTGTTTTATTCCAGGTTTCCTTGAAAAAGGAAGCTGGAAAGGGAGGACAGGGTCCAAAAATCTAAGTCACCACTCCCTGATTATACATAGTAACAGCTATTTAAAGCTCTAACAAGCTACCCAAAGTACCTCCAAGATCATATCCTAAAATAGTTCCAAAATCACTCTTCATCTTCGTCAGATGCCACAATCATACATGGGCTATCAGTTTACCCACCCTTAGTTAGGCACTCTTCCCAAAGAACACATTAGTGGGGTGTGCAGGACCTGGGCAGCTCAGGTAAAAGGGTAGGTAGCTTTGCATTCAAGGCTGTATACTGCGATAGTGTGGCAAGTTACACAGCAAGACCGACCCAAAACCAAAAAGTACATACAAAGCACAAACATGACCTAATCGATCATAAGATTTCATTAGAATATACACTGTTGGTAAGTTTTTAGATGTACAAAACATCCCTCCTCTCAGGTTGCCATGAATGTGACACAATAAACAGACAATTATCTGATGAAACACTGTTTATTTCCCAAACACAGCATAAATTGTGAGAACAAGGCTCTGACACCATTACCTGAAACCCTTAATCACTGAAGTAAAAAGTAAATATTAGGTAGGAAATAATCTCTCTTGCTACTATCTAACACAGTTAAATGTGAAGTACTTTCAGATTTTACAGTTCTTTATCAGAAAGACCGTGAAGTATACAGTAGGATTCTTTAAGTGACAAAGTGGAGCTGCAATTCCAACTGCTTCACTTGTTTACTGTTTCTGAGCAAGCTCCATCACTATTTTGTGCAGTTACAGTGTTCTCCCCTTGAACTCAATTTATCTTCCCACAGCTGCAGTTACCCTTGGTCAACCTCAATCAAAAAATATTAGTTGATGGGTCAGCAGACAGTTCTGTCACTGAAGCCCTATGACTTCTACAGGCACCATGATGCAGGTGTTCTCTTCCCCTCCCTTTCATACTCACATAAAACAATTAAGAATTCCTAAAATAAGCTGGGCATTGGTGGCCCACGCCTTTACTCCCAGCACTTGGGAGGCAGAGGCAGGTGGATCTCTATGAGTTCGAGACCAGCCTGGTCTACAAGAGCTAGTTCCAGAAAAGGCTCCAAAGCCACAGAGAAACCCTGTCTTGAAAAACCAAAAAAGAAAAAAGAAAAAAATTCCTAAAATAGTAAATGGAAATTTCCCTAACTAAAAGATTATAAGGTTTTATGTTGTTGGGATTTTTGTTTTCTTTCTAGACATGTAACTCAGGATGGTCAGGAACTAAAAGTAGCAACAAAAATAATTTTATGGCTGGGGGTCACCATACATGAGGAACTGTATTAAAGGGTCACAGTATTAGGAAGGTTGAGAACCACTGCTTTAGCAGGAAACCTAGCTGTAGCATAAAATCTCACACTGTTGCACACCTAGATGTGAATCCTTTGCCCAGTTTATCCAAGAAAATTACATTACTGGCCATTAGTAACTTTGTGCCCAGGTGCTACCAGTCCCAGCTACCAGACTGATAATGTGTGTTCAAATTAACCTCATTTTGTTTAGTGATTGCACCAAAGTGTAACAGCAGTGAAGCCTGCAATTTGTAAATGCCAAAGAAAAGCCCTAAGATGTTTCCCCTCAGGGCTGGAGAGTTGTCTACAAGGTTAAGAGCATTTATGATTTTGCAGAGGCCCAGAGTTTGATTCCCAGCACCCGCACCAAGTGGCTCACAACCATCTGTTCCAAGGGCTCCAACTCCCTCTTTTGGGCTTTGTGGGCACCCAGAGGCATGCACACAGATGTACAAATAAAATAAATGATAAAAAAAAAATACATTCTAGCCGGGTGGTGGTGGCACACGCCTTTAACCCCAGCACTCGGGAGGCACAGGCAGACAGATCTCTGTGAGTTCGAGGTCAGCCTGGTCCACAAAGTGAGTTCCAGGACAGGCTCCAAAGATACACAGAGAAGCCTGTCTTGAAAAACCAAAAAATAAAATAAAATAAATCATTTTTTGGTTGTTTGTTGTTAA